TCTCTGGACTCCAGCCCCAGCTTGGTCAGTCCTCCAGGGTGGCCCAGCAGAGATGTGACTTCCTAGACCAAGCACTCCCCACTCGCCACCCTCACCCTGTCCTGCACGCAGCTCCAGCTGGGCCCTCAAGCCTCTGTGCCTTTGCTCAGGCTATTCCCTCTACCAGCCCACCTCCTTACCCAGGTCCACCTGGCAAGGCCCCTCTCATCCTCCATTGCTCTGCTGAAATGCTATCATGACTCCTCTGGTTTTGCTAGCATTAGTGTGCCCTTACTAAGAAACAGGTATTTTCTGAGAAGCTTATAGGCATTACAGTAAAACCTTGGATTGTGACTAACTTGGTTTGCGAGTATTCCGCAAGATGAGCAAACATTTCTAATACATTTTAACTTGGTAAACAAGTAATGTCTTGCAATACTAGTAGTTTGTTTCCGGAAATAATTATGCTCGCAAACCAAGGTATTACTGTATTTAATTCTCACAGCAGCCCTTTGAGGTAAGGTACTATTATTTTACCCTACTTAACATGAAACACCAAGCAGAGAAAGGAAAAGATGGCTTGCCCAGGACTGTACAGCTAGGAAGGTGGAACTGAAATTCCTCCAAGAGAGACTTGGGACCCAGAGCTGTGCTGCTGGGGTTCAAATCCCAGCTCTGCTGCTTACTAGCTTTGGGCCTTGGGCAAGTTACTTAATCTCTGAAGGTCTCAGTTTCTTCAACGAAAAATTGGGCATGCTATTGTAAAAGTTAAAATTAATAAATGTAAAGTGTTTAGAGCAGTTCCAGGCGCGCACACACACAGTAAGTGCTCAGTAACTGTTAGCTATGATATTTGTAATTTTAATTGTTGTCTTCTGGGGCAGAATTACTCAGCTGGGCCCCAGCGATAGAGATGAGCTTTCCCCCTGTCCTTGGCTTGTGTGGGTGGAGATGGAGCTAGGATTTCCAGATGGGCCTGGCCTCTGGCCATTTGTGAGATCCTCCTCCTGACAGGCTGCTCTGCCCCTCTGGGATGGGGTCCTTGTCCCCAAGGGTCAGCTGTGGGGGCCAGGGGCCCTGGGTTCTAGTCTTCTGCCACTGCTCACTAGGTAACCTTGCCCTTTCTGAGGACCAGGCCATGTGCCTGGCTCTGCTGGGCAGAAGTAGATATGGCAGACACACTGAGAGAGGCTCTGGGACATGGAACTGTGGCAGCAGGTTCCCGGACTCTAGGGCTCATGCTTGGGCTGGGCCTTAGGAGAGAGTTGGTCCCAGACAGCAGAATGTCCCAGACAGCAGAATGTCCCAGACCTCAGGCCCCAGCCCCAGCCCATCCTGGTTCAAGTGGAACCTGAGGACTCTTGTCTGAGCCTTACCTGGGGCCCCAAGCACAGAGATCAAGTCTTTGTCCCTACAGGTGTCCACCTGCCTGAGCTCTGGGGCCCCTCCTCCCACCTCGCTGACTGCCCTCCCCAGACCCAGCTCTGTGAACAGCAGTGCCTGGGTCTTGTGCCAACTGCTCTACCTACTTAGGTCTGGAGGGGATGGAGGAGCAAGGTTCCCCCATGGCTGGCACTCTTGTTGCCATGGTAGCAGTTGCCTTGGAAGCTGCTTCCTGACTTCAGCTTCCAAACAGCCCAGGAAGGCTGCCCGTCCCCCCAGGGGATCTGAATTAATCATGCTCTTTTCCAGGGTCCTCACCCCTCCAGGAAAATAAACAGAACTAAACCAAGCTGAAGCCTTTCGCCCACTTTCTCTCCACCCCATGCCACTCTTGGACTTGGTGCTTCTGGGAAGGAAAGCTCATAGGCAGGCACCCTTCAGTCCTAGCCTCAATGAGCATGATTTTGTGATGGAACTTAGCAGTGACCCATGGCCTGGCCACACTCTGAGTCTGGAGCCTGGAGAACCCAGGCTTCAGGGAGAAGGACTCTGATGCTTGTGGGGTGGGGAACGGGTAGGTGGTCCAGTTCTAGTGTCTTGGGCTTCCATCTCATTTACCTGTTACAGTAAGGACATCACCCAAACACATGCATGTATTTCCTTTTCAGAGATGATACAGCCTATATTGCAGAAAGAACTGGCAAGCCTCCCTCTCTACATTTGTAACCAATGGAGGAGCAGGCATCACATGTTTCTAATGACACTGCTGTGATGAGAGAAAAGATACAGGCCTTGACTGATTCTTTTCAACACAGTATCTTCCTCTGATGGTGGGGTTGTCAATTCTACCCACTTCAAATAAGACAATTTGGAAATTCAGGAGCAGAGAGATGCTAGAGTACTTCCCCGCTGAGCAGGGAATCTGGACACCGAGGTCCTATCAGGGACTCTGGGGCAATCCTTCCACTCCCTACATCTCGGTCTCCTCACCTGTTCTAGAAAGGAGCTGGTGTGTTTCTGTGGTTCTGTGACCTTGTAACTGACCATGGCTTAATGTGTCTCTCCCCCTCCGTATTTTCTCCTCTGATCTGCGCCCTGAGGGATTTACAATGTCAGAGAAAAACTCCAATTTGGAATTTGATCTCCGGTTTTTATAAGTCAGAGTGTTCTGGAATCTGAAACTCACAATGCACAGGCATCCCTGACTCCAGCCTCTGCCATCCCCATCCCCATTCACAAGATGAGCAAAGTGAGGCTTAGGCAGGTGGAGTGGCTGGTCCAAGTCTCATAGTGCAAGGTGGCCTGAGCTCCTGTCTGGTGGGAGCACTGCACTCAGACTTATACCATGACAGCAGCCGGCACAGGCCCTGCCTGTCCAGAGTTATGCACACACGTAATGGGCAGGGGTTCTGTGGAGGGTGTTTCGATTCCCAAAGCTCAACGTCTCAGGAACATGTTTTCATGGACAATTATTTTGACGGCTCCTTCTAAAACTCATCAGTGGGGGATCAATTACGTGTGACAGAGACCTGGGCTGTCATTTGATGCCTAATTAGAGGAATAATCAGACCTCATCCTGGCAGCAGTGGCTGTGGCTGGGGAATGCCTACCTCCAGGGGCTTCTTCTTGTGGGGGCCAGTAACATGGCCCAGGGGGCCCATCAGTGCCCTGCAGGCACCCCTCCTTTCTATACACCTTTGAGTTTACACCCGTCCAGCATCCAAGCAGTGCCTTCCCTCAGCCAAAGCTCAGTCAGGTGACCCTGGCCTTCCGAGGCCCCTACCCCCTCTAAGGAAAGCCTCTCACTAGAGATGGAGGTCCTGTGGTGCCCATGGGTCTCCTCTTTGCCAGCCTGTGCTGGCCATGCAAGCCCAGTCCTTCCCTGAGAGCTGCCTTGTGTCCAGAAGCCTTGCCCAGTTCCCCTCTAGCCATGGCATTCTGTGGAGCTCACTCATTGAACCTGCCCTCAAGGGACACAGTCTGCAGAGGTGACAGAGATAGAATGAGATAGGCACTTTGGTGTGGGGACATGGCAGCAATGGTATGCAGCCCACTCAGGTGCCATCAGGAGCCGCCTGAGCAGGGTCCTGCAGGATGAGGAAGTGTCCTCCAGATGGTTGGGGTCAGGCGGACACTCAGTGGAGGTGAAGGGGAGGGGCGTTGAGGAAGGGGCAGCTGTGGAGGCAAAGACCGTGGGGCTAGCTGTTCCGGACTGTAGATATGGTGGGGAGAGACGGGGTCCAAAGAGAGGCCAGTGGGGCCAATGATGGGACCCTGCGGACTGTGCCCATGTGTCTAGGTGCAGGGCTAGGGCCAAGGCCACATTCTGGGGCCAGGGAGGCCCTGATCCACAAAGGGCCAGAGAATGCAATTCGTGATAAGGGCTGGGCTGGGTGAGCGCTGCCCGGCCTGGAGTTAGTGGACCCTGCCAATAAGTAGGTCAGGTAGGCTGGGCAGAGGAGCTCAGTCCTGAGGTCGGGAGGCGCTGGCCATGTTCCAGTCTCTTAACCCAGGCTGCAGACACCCAGCCCCCACCGATTCTGATTCCAATTCCAGTTCCTCTCCCAGTCCTAACCCATAGTGTTTCCTCCTCCCTCACATCCCCCACCACTGCTCTTCCCTGACGGCCCCAGCCAGGGGTCCCAGGCGGTTGGAAGAGCTCACCTTCTCAACCCACTAGAAACTAAAGGGAAGTGGGTACCAAGCCTATCAGAGGAAAAGGGGGCCTCAAACTAGGACCCCTCAGTCGGAGGTTGCCAGGATGGTAAGGAAGATTGAGAGGGGGAGCGGTACAGAGTGGACTTGGAGGGACGCCTCCCTTTCTCCTATCCCAGTCACTGTTCCTGTCTCTTGAGCCTCGTTGGGGTCTCCTTCCATCACTCTGTCTTCTAGTCCCCAAGCAGAGGCCCCAGGTGCACCTCTAAGCCAAAAGGATGGCAGAATGGGCCCTGATCCTGTGGCCAGGCAGTCTCCTGACATCCCTGGGCTCTGAACCCCATGTGAAGCCAGCAGCTCATCCTGCCCTCTCAGGGACCAGCAGTGGAACCTGGGCTGACTGCCCTCGTGGGCCTCTGGGACCCAGGCAGCAGCTCACATTGCAATCTCATGAATAACTCAGCACCTCCCTGCTGCCTGCCTCTCAGAGGAACCTGGGCCCTGGACCAGCCTCCTCCACGGTTTTAAACTTTAATAAGTAGAGGCTCGGTGGCAGGTGAGCAGGCTCCAGGGAGCCAGGGCAGGATGTCCTGGGCGGGGGGAGCTTGGGCTGAGCTCTCCCAAGGGGAGGCTGGCAGGGGAGGACCCCATGGGGCAGAACTCTGGCAGCCACGGCAGGACGTGGCTAGGCAGGCGTCCCAAGAGTGGCCTCCAGCTTCAGGGGCCTTTAGGGGAGGAAGAGTAAGCTGGGGTGACCCGGCAGAGACCCTAGGTCAAGGTGGGGTGGGAGGCTCCTAGGGTTGCTGTGGGATACGGTTACAGATAAATCCAAGGGTTACCAGCCCTGAATCTTACTACCCTAAGACTCCTACCCTGGATGAAGATAGAGCTCCAACAAGAGGACAGCCAAGAAGACCGAGACCTCCAGGGCTTTTCTGGGGACAGGCCCCACCGGCTGGAGACGGTGGTCTGAGCCGGCCTGCATGGACCTCCCCATCAACATCAGAGACTTTCGCTGCATGCAGCTGGCCTGTGTGGCCCTTGGCCTGGTGGCAGGCATCATCATCATTGGTGTCTCCGTGTCCAAGGCTGCAGCTGCCATGGGTGGTATCTTTATTGGCGCCGCTAGTCTGGGTGAGCAGGTGCTGGGGCATGGTCAGGTGAAAATGGAGGAAAGGACTAGGTCAACAGGTATTGGTTGGGGAGGGTGGAAGCTAGAGGCGTGAGCAAGGCAGCTTTTGGGGGTAAAGGGAGGGGGAGGAAGATTGGGGTGAGGTTCCCTCTGTGGACCACCAGGGTGAGGAAGATGTGGGGGAGGGAGCTGGCTGTCACACGGCTCTCTGGCTGCTCCCCCTCTGGCTCTCCAGTAGCAGACCCGGGCTCTCAGGTTTGTGGTGGGATTCATAAGCTTGTTGGGGGTGGGTTGATAGGGGGCAGGGAAAAGAGGACAGAGTCCCCAGTGGACCCTCCTTGAGCCAAGACAGGATGTAGCTCAAAGGGTTTCCTTTGTTTCCTGGTATGTCTCAGCAGCAGGTATGTCTGTCAAGGCATCTGTCCATCTGTCTATCCGGGCCAGTTCCACGGATATTCCCACAGTGGCGCTGAGTACCATCCCTCGCCCCACTCCACCACTCTGGGCCAAAAACAGAACCAGAAGAACCAGGCTAGTGGGCTCTGGGCATCAGTACGTGCAAACTCTGGCCAAGAGCCACAGACACTTGGTTTGGGGATGAAATGGGAGTGGGCAGAGCAGGACCTGGTAGAAAGCACGCTGTGGAGCCCCCAGTCCTACACTGGGGGCCCTAGGGGAGGGGGAGGCAGGTGAGAGTTGGTGATGATGGTAGCAGCTGGGCCAATTTTCAGCTGCTGAGTGGGAAGGAAGCCAACCTGCCCCTCACCAGGGCTGGGTGGAGCCAGGAGCCTGGACCTGCATAGTCTGTAGCCCCTTTCCCGAACAGGCACAGCTCTCTGTCCCTTCTGGGGCCGGGCGTTAGAGAGCCGCTTCATGCACACACAGGCTCACATGTATGCCCCCACAGTCCCAACCTGCACACTTTGCTCCTCCCATGCACACCATGTCACCCTCATAAACCACCTCCCAGGTTCACAGCCCACACACATCTCCATGCAGCTTGCACCCACCAGGCCCATCCCCATCACAGAGCCCCGCTGTGTCTCTCTTCTCAGGGCTCCTCATCTTGGCCTACCCCTTCTTGAAGGCTCGGCTCAACCTGGACCACATCCTACCTAATATAGGTGAGTCCTCTCCCCACCCCCAGCAGAGCCTCTGCCAAGGACTGTGTGAGACCCTTTGTGTGTAAGTCTGTGGCCCACTGCGTGGGGCAGCCAACCCACATGTCTGACTGCTCCTGGCTGTGTTTGTTGGAGTTGG